GCGGGCGACGGACGCGAGGGGCCAGCAAACGGCGGCAACGGGGGCCGCCTAGGAGCTGGCGCAACGGCGAGGAGAGCCGGCCGCGACGGCGAGGGGCGGCCGTGAGCCGGCTGGAAACGGCCGCGACGGCAGCTAGGGGCGGCCGCGACAGTTAGGAGCAGGCGCGACGGCGGCTAGGAACAGCCGCGACAGCGGCTAGGGGCGGGCGCGATGGCTAGGGGCGGCCATGGGACGGCGGGAAACGGCCGCGACGGCGGCTAGAGGCAGCCACGACGGCTAGGGGCGGCCGCGACGACAGCTAAGGGCGGCCGCGACGGCGAGGAAGTCGGCTAGGGGCGGGTGCAAACGGCCAGGAGGACGGCTAGAAGGGGGCGCGAAACTACCAGGGCGCCGGCTAGGAGGGGCTCGATGGCCAGGGGGCCAGCTCGGGGCGGGCGCGAACGGCCAGGAGGCCGGCTAGGGGCGGGCGCGACGGCCAGGGGGCCAGCTAGGGACGGGCGCGAACGGCCAGGGGGCCAGCTAGGGACGGGCGCGACGGCCAGGGGGCCGGCTAGGGATGGGCGCGATGGTCAGGGGGCCAGCTAGGGCCTAGGGGTGGAAGCGTGGGCAGGCTAGGGGGGGACCTAACCTACTATGATACCATATCAGAATGAATAATGACTAGAATAGGAGATACAAGGCAATATAGATTGGTGAGCTGTACCCACTAAGGCACAAACATATATAGTCTACAGTAACTGCATAAGTTATGTTTGACACGGAAGTCCAGGCTCGGCCCGACATTTCGGGTTCAAATTATGTTCGAGACCACCAAGCCTACACACAGCGTCGCATCCAACACTTCCGAGTCCTGAGGCGCCCCAAACCACCTCACTTGTGTTTTGTGGCCCTCCTCGAGGCTCCCTTGCTAGGTTAGTTGTTGTTGTATTTAGCCCTGTGCTTCATTTGTACGCGACACTTTCATAACGACCTCACTATTGCATTAGTCGACTCCTACCGGAGATTATCATAACAGCTTGCATCAGAGCTACGTTCATGCCCATTTACACTTCCGTAGTGAGGTAGTTTTTAGAGGGACCTCGCACGTTAGGAGACAGGAGCTGTCCAACGGTCGTGTAGGAACTTCTTTAGTTCTGCCGACTTTGTCGTGTGCGCTCGACGTCTCTAACGTCGCAAGTACCCGTAATGTCTTTAGCGGTGTTAGCTAGCTATGGTAATTAATACTCAATAGCCATCATCGCGGTAGTACTAGGAATATGACTCACGGGCATATAGCTCAGCTGTTAGAGCCGTCAGAAAGCGCGTCGGTGTTGACGACGAAGGTCGGCGAAATGATGGCGAAGATGGAGGCCATGGCACTGGAGCTCGCCGCGTTGAAAATTAAGAACGTGAACCTTCGTCGGGCGTGTGGTGCGACGCGTCAGGAGTCGCCTGTTACCGAGGACGAATATCGTGAGAGTGTGCATCAACCGCATGCGACGTCAGCAACACGAGACGACATTTCGAGCGAGCGACGGGGCAGTTGTGAAGACCAAATCTGCCATGCCCCCGCCGTTCAACACACTAGAGGAGCACACCACGCTGAGTGGGTGGGTATTTGCCATGAAACTATTCTCCAATGTTGCTTATGTCAACGATGTTGAGACGCGCGTCAAGTTGGCGGTGTCTTTATTACGCGGACCTGAATTAAATTGGTGACGATAGTACGTGACGTCATGAGGGACCCCGGCAGATCAGCAACAGGCGATGGACGGGGAGCAACGACTGGCTTCGACTTCTGCAGGATCCTTATTCGGTGTGGCCGAGATCCTTCTCTGGCAACAGTGGGGTGCACTGCTTTGCCGGCGCTTTGAGCATGTATCCGCATGCAAAAACGCTCGTGTGAAGCTTCATGGGTAGTGTTACACGACCGAATGTGCGAAGGAAAATTCACACTATCGATTGATACAAGGCGCTTTTATACTTCCGAGGTACATCAGGTAACCAAGTTTATCCTATCCACAGGGAATAGACTAGAAATAGAATCACCCTGCGTATAGCCATGCGAGGCTATTGGCTTTAAGGGATTACGGCAAGATTACGCTAGATATAGCGCGCCGGTACATCCCGAGCCTGGTCGGTGATATAATTATAATAATAGGATAACCCAAAGGATAATGAGAAATGAGGAATATGAAACCAAATGGGATGTGATAAAGATCAAAGGAATCAGGATAAAAAGAAGAATGAGATAGAGGAAAAATATGGAAATGAGAAAGAAGTGTAACGGTGTCATACTCTCACAGGTAGCATCAAATGGGATCTATGTTGGAGTACGCGTCATCCTTCCTCGCCATTTGCGACGAAATCAACGATCTACACGAGATGGAAAGAATGAGTCGATACAACATAGAGATGAAACCGGAGTTCCAACACAAAATTTGCATACGTCGCCCGAAAACGTTCATGGAGGTGCATCATGTTGCAGAAGCGTGGGACGAGAACAGTGTATGGCCCCGAACGAATTTCCGGGAAGGAAGTTCTTTTCGAGGGCATAACATTTACCCATCCATCAACGATGTGGCGGCACTGTCAGATAGCAAATTTTATGGCAGGTGTTATAAATATGGCCAGGCGGGGCACATCATGCGGGACTGTTCGGAGTTGTAGAAATTGGAAGCTAACGATGGAAGGAAGCTGGAAAATGGACAGCATCACTAGCAGTCGTCCCCCCTACTGATGACGCTTCATCACCCGGAGATCACCATTCCCACCGAGTAGTCGTGCCGATCTATGGGATCAACCATTCCTAGTTAAAGGAGAGTGAACCTGTTGACTGCCTTCTGCTGGTGGAACGTCGCAATGGCAACACCAGACTAGAAATATTGGTGGATGGTGGAGCATCACATTGTCTGTTCGATGTGACAAGAGCGAAGAAGCTGCACTTGCAAATGGAGCGGTGCATGCCCGAAATTTACGCACGGTTGGTTGACGTCACGCCACTTGCAATTTAGGAGCGGGTGAAACATGTTCCCATTGATTGCAACTGCCAAATTAGTTTCGCCATAAAGATGCTAGCGACAACATTGGATGGCTGCTATGTGCTCCTGGGATGCGATTGACTTCGCACGTACAACCCGAGCATCGATTGGCAAATTTGTGACATTCGGTTGAAGTGGGGCACTGAAAGGCGAAGATTGACGAAGTGGAAACCACCCGACCCTTGGTCCACAATGGTGAACATACTATCAAGCGCGTGATGGCACGCGGCGTGGACGTCTACGCCGTCTGATGGATCCCATCAACGGAGGTGGCTGAAAAAACCGACCTGGAGAAGCTATGTGTTGCTGTCACGAGGACCTGGCAAAGATCATGCGCAAATTTGAGAAGATATTTCCCAACGACCTACCACCTGTACTACCATTCAAACGACCACACAATCACAAGATTGAGTTGGAACAAGGAGTGCAACCGACCGTCCTATCGCAATGGAGGCTGAATCAACCAGAGCTGATGGAGAAAAATATCATCCACCCGTCCATGTCACCCTGCACCGCACCGATTCTCTTCACCCCTAAAGGACGGAGGGCTTCGGATGTGTAACGACCATCGCACGCTCAACAACATCACCATCAAATTGCGTGTTACCCGATTCCTGCTGCTGACGACCTCATTGACCAACTTCGCAGAGCCATGATGTTTTCCAAGATTGATCTACGAGGGGGTTACCACCAGATTCTTGTCGCCGAAGCTGATATCTAGAAGACTGCATTTTGAACCCGTTACGGAAGTTATTAGTATATAGTGATGCCATTTGGATTGACGAACGCAACGTCATCTCCACGGAAGGCGTTAAAATTGACCCGAAAAAAATTGCTACAATTTGCAATTGGGAGCCGCCTACCAACGTCAAGGAGTTGCAGAGTTTTCTGGGTTTCGTCAACTACGTGCGTCGTTTTATCCCTAAAATGACATAGTCAACAACCTCGCTAACCGACTTGCTGCAGAAGGGGGTATTTAATGAGTGGCTGGAGAGGTAGCAAGCGGCGTTTGAGTAACTGAAAATTTTCCTCATAACACCACCCGTCATTCGTATCGCCGACCGCGACCGCCCGTCCAAACAGATTACGGACGTCAGCGCCATCGTTGTTGGCACGGTACTGTTACAGGACTTTGGCGAAGGCCTGTAGCCAATCGTCTACGACTCGCGAAAACTCTAAGGCGCTGAACGGAATTACCCGTTTTACGATAAGGAAATTCTCGCAATCGTCAACGCTTTCAACACCTGGCGCTGCTACGTATCAGGTGCCGATGTTACTGTTCGAATAGACCACAAGTCCCTACAGTTCCTCCGAGCCCAACCGACCCTCACTCCACGTCAGATTCGTTGGCTCGAATATCTCGAGTCCAACTTCCACTGCTGAATCACCTACAAGAAAGAGGCAAATAATATTGCTAACGCCCTTTCTCGCCCCGAGACTAGCGTTGAAATAATAAGCTCGAGCGCCATCATTGCTAACCCTCTCCGTGATGTCTCTTTTGACCTTTGAAGTTCAAACTACGTTCGAGACCACCAAGCCTACACGCGGCGTCGCATCCGACACTTCCGAGTCATGAGGCGTCCCAAACCACCTCACGTGTGTTTCGTGGCCCTCCTTGAGAATCCCTTGCTAGGTTAGCTGTGCTTGTATTTAGCCCTAGCAAGGGAGCCTCGAGGGAGGCCACGAAACGCACGCGAGGTGGTTTGGGCGCCTCAGGACTCGGAAGTGTCGGACGCAACGCCACGTATAGGCTTGGGGGTCTCGAATGTAGTTCAGGCCTGAGATGTCGGGCCGAGCCCAGGGCTCAATATTGGTTTAGGGGGACCCTTGGTAATCATGGTACATCAAGAATGTTGCCCTGCCTCCTAGTTTGAAAAAATCGACACCCTTTGAAAATCAGGGTAAATTTAAATTTTAAAAAAAAATCGAGTACACTATTTGGCCAAGGAAAAAATTGAACACCCTTTCATGTGCTTACAATAATCAACCATACTGTGGTGTGCCTTCAAATCTCGCATGCACACAAGCGCGTTGTCTCTAGCATTATCCATGCATAGCTAGATAACCTACCACTACTACTACTACTACTACTACTACTACTACTACTACTACTACTACTACTACTACTACTACTACTACTACTACTACTACTACTACTACTACTACTACTACTACTACTACTACTACTACTACTACTACTACTACTACTACTACTACTACTACTACTACTACTACTACTACTACTATTACTACTACTACTACTACTATTACTACTACTACTATTACTACTACTACTATTACTACTACTACTACTACTACTACTACTACTACTACTACTACTACTACTACTACTACTACTACTACTACTACTACTACTACTACTACTACTACTACTACTACTACTACTACTACTACTACTACTACTACTACTACTACTACTACTACTACTACTACTACTACTACTACTACTTCTACTACTACTACTACTACTACTACTACTACTACTACTACTACTACTACTACTACTACTACTACTACTACTACTACTACTACTACTACTACTACTACTACTACTACTACTACTACTACTACTACTACTACTACTACTACTATTACTACTACTACTACTACTACTACTACTACTACTATTACTATTACAACTGCATCTTCTGTGAGTCTCACGCCATCCACTAATACTCCCGCTACTAATAGCTCACTCTGCAGACCCACTATTCCCCCCGCCGACTGAGCTCGGAGCGGCAGAGGGTGTTGCGTTCTCTGGCTCAGCAAACAGCGCCGAGCTGGGGATGGTGCCAGTGAAGTCTCGGATAGTGCGGCGGGGATTTTCTCCACGAAAGATGGCCACGACGTTGAACCACTCCACGTCATAGTCCAGCAGGGAGCACCGCATGAGATGGCCGAGGGTGATGCCGCCCATGCTCCCCCGCGCCCAGGTCTTTATCAGGTTCTGCTTGGAGAAACCGCGCTCGAAGTTGACAGTGCTCAGCAGGAGAACGGCGACAGCTTGCCACATGAGCATGATGTTGGGGTAGCCGAGCTGCCAATTGCTGTCACGCAGCGTGTTGCTGAGCGCCTGGAAGAAGTCCTCATGATGATGCTGGGAGTGCATGGTGGATGTGAACATCCACAGCTCCGTGACTGCTTTGTTGTAGTTGAATCTTGCAAGGGGGGTTCGGGGCGATGAGGGAGGAATTGTTCAGTGTTGATTTTGTTTGCATAGCATAGTGTACCACGACTCCACGGTTGAGAAGTAGGCGATCTAGATTACCTGGGAGCTTGTGCCGAAATAGGCCGTCCAGCTGCTTCAGCCACCTCTTGAAGGCCGCCACGTGCAGGATGTCGTCATCCAGGTAGGTCTTCTCCAGGAACAACTTAGTGCCCTCCAGGTTACGCAGATTGTTCAGACGTCGGTCGAGGAACATGTTGACGGAGGGAGCATACTTGACACAGAGCTCGAGGCAGGCTCTCACGTCGCTGTTGGAATCTTGGCCCAGCAGCGGTCGCTCATAGAGTTGGAAGGAGAATGACTGCGGGTTTCCGTCACTGTCAACGCCCTCGGCCGTTATCACCCGCTTGTCCTTAGCCGCATGCGTCGCGATGAACTTCGGCAGATGGAGCTTCTCCCCATGGCCGAAGACGTGCCCAGGCCCAGAGCTGAGGTAGTGCGCCGTGATCTGCATCTTGGTTTGCTCAACCACGTGTGCCATGAGTGTCACGTCAATCTGTAGGGGCGGGCACAACACACGCACCACGCATCAGTGCTATGCTTTGCGCGGGAAACCACATAGACCGGTCGGCAAACATGGGGGGTGAGAGTCAAACACGCGTAACGATATAATGATTGGATCAGACATGGTGATACATACATGTCGCCGCTGAAACCGTTGGTTGAGGATGTTCAGCTCCGTCAGAATGTCGGCGAGGAAGAGCAGGAGAAAATGATACTTGAACGAAGTAATGACTTCGTACAAGTCACTCCCATGCTCGCGTAGCAACAAGATGACAGTTGGGAGCACGTCCACGAGGCGGTTCACCGCTAGCGGATTACATGGATTCCCTGGTGTTCCAAGGTTGTCAGACTGAAGATCAGCTGCAGCGCCATGAAGCGGGTATGGCGCGCATGACTGCGTCCAAGGATGTCGGCCAGTGTCCTTATGACCAGGTCGATGATGCTTAGCTCGGGCACGGATGCAGCCACGTCCTTAGCCGCCAGCGCCTCCCTGAAGGCGGGGTGGGAGGATAGGGGCAAAGTAGTAGAAAGGCTGATGTTAGTTCCACGAATATAATGCACAACCATGGATATCATCCGAAAGTTTAAACGCCCGTCGAACAGCAACAAACCGATGGGCAATGCAACTAATCGAGACGAGGTGCTCGAATTGTGCGCGCAGACGGGTCACTACTCCGCTCCTCTCGCCGTCATTATGGAAGCTCCACCAGTCGCGATGCCCACGATCTTTTGCAAGTCCAGTCCCATTCCCTGGATGTAGTGCAGGAAGGAGGTAGTCAAAGATGCCGCGCCAGTCCGGTCGACACTCAGAAGCGTGACAAACTCTTTCGCCATGGTGTTGCCCTTGAAAAACGTCGCGTAGAGCACGATATGTTTCCCGTGGATATGATCCGTGCTCTCGTCGATGCTGATGCCGACGTAGGGAGAGGCGCGAAGGTGTTTTAGCTGTTCCTCCTGTAGATACTCCGACATGGACCGCATGCTCTCCTTGAAACCGTAACTGCATGTCATGGAAACAAGAAGAGATAGACGATGGGCCATTTATACCATACAAGAAGGCCACAATTAGTGCACGTGGGGAGGGAGGACGAGCAGTGAGCATCAAACGGAAAAGCGCACAACACAAGGTTTTAACTTATTCTGTGTAGTAGGCGCCATACCCACCACATGGCGGCAGATCGGGGTGGCCTTCCTTCGCGAGGAACCAACACAGGGGGATGAATATCGCGATGGGCACATCATGCCTGCAAATGAACAACGCGATGTGCAGCATGCGGATAAGTTGTCACGTCTGGTGATCCGTCCGCTGCCAGCGGCTCAGGGTCACTAGCCCCGCGCGCTCTTTCTCAGCATCCTCCTCCGCCTTGAGCGCCGATTTGTGCGCACGGTTGCCGATGTGAGAGCGGATACTGCCGAGCTGCACATCGCGCCCCCCCTCACCCTTGATGCCGTACGACGTGTTCGCACATGGGTCGGTGTGTTTGAGGTACGTGGCGCACTTGAGAGCAGGTCGTCTGCTCTTCATTCAATGTAGCCACAACCAGGAGAACCGTTTTGACCAGTCGTTGTCGAAACAGTTTTTAATTACTACGTACTCGGCCTCAGCAGCAGTCGGCAGCAGGCCCGGCAAGGCGAGAAGGGCGCGCGGGAGGCGGGATTGCTGGGCGGCAAGGCAGAGGCGCACCCCAGAGGGTCGACTGCGTCCATGCGGACCGTGGCGGCCTTTTGGCAGTTTTGGAGGTAGGGGAGAGTGGGGTTGTCACGGAGGGATGGTCGGACTCATCCGCATCGGTAGACTCTGAAACGTCGATGGGCTCGATGCCCCGCGGGGATGGAGAAAGGGATCTATGAATCTGTAGTGGGGCGGGCTGAGGAATTTGCAGAGAGCGCGGGGGAGATTTACGCTGGGTGAACGAGGGCGTGAGTGCTTGTGGAGCGAGGGGGAAAACACTGAGGATGCTAAGGCCATCACGATGACCAACATGGCTATCGTCAGGCTCGTCGTTCTCGGGAACGGCCATGTCTGAATACTAGAAGCGATAGAGTAATAACTAAAGAGGGGAATGATTGACCCAGCTCGGCTGGGTTGGGTGAAGTATGAAGAGAAGTTGGGGGAAGAAGAGGATGAGGACGATGGGCCAAGAATGGTCTCGTGATAGGGAACGAAAACCGCACAGCGCGGCAAAGTCAACATGCTATGGCAGACTGTCCTTGCGCCGCGGGTGTTGCTGCGCTGGTGCATGCGATGCCCAGCTGTCCTTGAGACCAGGCAGGAAAGTGGCCACGATGCACAGCGGATACTGCATCCAGCACGCCGTTGGCTTGCTACCGCGCGACGATTCTGGGGGGCTTGACTGCCAGTACATTTGTCGGCGGGCGGGCATGGCTGGTGGAGTTTCACACGTGGCAGATTCGACAACAATCGAATCTGCAGACTTTGTAGGCTTCTGTTTCAGGGTGTTTTCGGCAACACCCTGTCTGGTCAGGGTAGATCGCTGGCTACAGCAGGGAAAAAAGAAAAACACTTTTAGAGAAAGTCACAAACAAAATACCATTTGAAAATCAGGGTGATCCTGAAAAATCGGCCACTGGCAAGGGCAATCAGGGTGAAATACCCTTCAAATTTGAGTCTCGGCCCAACCTAGATGAAAGGCCGGTTGTACTCGATGTCAGCGAGGCTCGATAAGGAAAAGGGATTTTCCTTACAATGGTTCACTTCACTAAATTGCAGATGTTTCTGAAGTGTCTTTTTGTTCATACATTGTGAAGGTTGGCTATGGATTAAAAAGGTTAAGTAGGAGGCTCAAATAATGAGGAATTGGCATAACGAGTTAAACAACGCTGAATGATGTCGTGTCGTGAAATAATAATGGGTCTCGCTATACGCTGCTGGAACGCGGTGGCTTCGCAGATTTCCTAGTTATGCCCGCGGATTTGTTGGGCTACGTACGTGGCCCCAACCACACCTCTCATTTGAACAGTCGGGCAAGACCCATAACCGCTCCTAACCTCTTACCTTCTGATTTCCCAGCCTGGCAGGTTTGGCTACGTACATTTCGCCAGGCAAGGTGAGGAAACGAAGGCTCGGCGGCGCACCATAGCACCATACATAGCGGAAGCTTGGCGCGGAAGGGCACCTTCACCTTTTCAGGGAGTTCACCCACACCTGCCTTTTTGGCTGGTGTTTCCAAAATGTACAGACAGTGAAGTGTAGTGCTCTTGATTGGTGATTCTCTTCCACAATTTAAGGTTACGGAAGGTTTCATACTAGTTTTGTCACATATTTGGTCTGCCCTACAATCAGAGTCAAGTGAAGAACGCCACCTTCCTCCTCCACCTCCTCTTCCTCCTCACCACCAGCCCCAGAATATTCGGTGTTTCCTCAACGCCAGCTGAGCAGAACCATGGCGGGGGTGGCTGCATCCTGTAAAAGATACTGGCTGTTTGCTGCAGGCACGTGGAAAAGGAATGGACATGGAAACGAATGCCCCGAGCCTAACCAAATTGGGGTTAGGAACGATAAAGGCTTCCAAACCAACAGCGGCCTGTTTCCGGATGGTTTCACCTCGTCGTGGTGTCATCCGATAAAGTTGAAAACTAATCGCATGCTTGTTAAGTTTAATAAAACGCGCCTGATTGGTTTTCCAATTTTCTCGGATGTCAGTAGGTTGAGATGACACCATCTAGAAACATGCCAGGAGCACTATCGCACACACCGACCGATTACTCCCTGGGAGCCAAGCTTATATTTGAGGCTCGGCTCCTTACCAACTGGTGTGGCTCTGGGTCTCGTTTCCATTTCCATTCCTTGTCCATGTGCTTCCAGAACGAGGCCACTGAATCACTCTTATGGGAGCAATAGGTCAACTGTTGTGGGCTCTGATTCTGGGAAAGGCAGAGAACCACGGAAGAGGCTCACAGGCAACCTGTCCCTTGATTTGTGGCTCACATTCCGTGGCAGAATTCTGAAAAGCTGCTGCGCTCCAATGGTTTGAACCTCATGCATGTGCTCAGCTCGTCCTACTTACGTAACCGAATGGGATTGGTTAGTTTTCCTACGGAAAGCCTTTTCATCCCACTGTCACCCAGAATAGCCGAAAAGGCTGCAGGTGACCCTCCTCCCCCCGAACCGCACCAAGCCAAGGGACCACCCCGAACTGTGGTGCTGTTTCTTCGCTGGCCATGCTGTGGCGCGTTGGTCCCTAGCTAGGTACGATAGTGAGTAGTTATAAACTCGGTGTTATCGTGGTTATGACAAGAAGGCCATTCCTCCCACGAAGTAGCATATTCCTGTCTGTCCCTCCAAGCCTGAAGCGAGTGCTAGCGACACGCCCTGACTGGCTCGCGAGCAGCCATTCCTTCCAAATCGCCGGGTTAATGACGGCGTCGTCAAAAATTTGAGGTGCCTAGGAACAGAGGCGTCTTTTGTAGCACAGTTTCCAAGTACAGAGATTCCTCACCGACACTTTCAGTAGCCAGTTTCGTCACGAGAAACAAACCGAATTTCTCGTAAACTTTGAAGATGCCTGGCCTGCTCAAGCACGGGAAACTGTCATGGCGTTTCCGATCCTCAATTTCCGAGATTGAGACTCCGCAAGATGCGTGTCTTCAAGTTTCGCCGCCTCTGGTTGATGAGTCAACGGCAGCGAAACCGTTTCCTGATAATGCAACAGAGGCGACGTCTGTAGCTCCTGGCGACTTAACTGTGACGGACAAAACCTTAAAAACTGCAAATTCTGACAGCGACAGAAGTTGCAACGGCTCTCCAAGGTCGCGAGTGGCAGAAGCCGGGAGTTCAGCACCGGGTAGATCGCCCTCGGCCAATGGGAGTAAAGCAGGAAGTACGCCAATCAGTAGGAAGTTATTGCTCTCGCCCGGCTGGAAGAGGGTATTTAGCGGAACTAGCCCGCTGAACTGCAGCGGCGCTCGGCGCGCTTACCTGGACGACTGCGAGAGCTGGGTGGATTCAGTGGAGGCTGAAATGGAGGACATTCTGAATGATTGGGGGGCGCTGGAGTCGCTCGTGAAGCAGAGGGCCGAGGTAGCGAAGCAGCCTATAGCGAATTTCTGCATGAGGAAGTCTGTCAGCTGCGACTCGTTGGTATCCTTGGCGGAATAAGGGGGGAAGGGGGAGGACGGGATGGGGTGGGGGGAGGGGGTTGGGGGGTGAAGTGGGAAAGCCGATCCCGCAGAAGGGAGGGGACAAGACAAGCATCCGAAACATACTGCATGCAGCTACTGGTGGAGGGTGGGGGGACCGAGAAGCGGAAGGGTGGGGGGACCGACAACGGCGGCAGGAAAAAAAATAGCTGTGCCGTTTGCGGGCTCCTTCGGCGGGTGAGGGGGGTAGTGGCACCGCAATGGGTTCGGGTTGGGTGAGGGAAAAACCTGGGAGCAAGTACAAGAAGGCTGGGAAAGATGAATGAATAAGTTTTCCCCTCTCTGATGGGGGTGATAAAATGTTCCAGGTGAACCCTGGCTGTGAGGGTGGGTGGGTGGGCACATGTGAAAATAGTACATCATCCAGTCGTCCATCCATTTTTGTCTGGAACACAATCGATTGTTGTCTTTATCAACTTCTCACTGTGTTCAGACCTGATGACATGCTCAGAAATAATGCATTTCAGGAGGGGTATGTCGCATACACACCATTATGGTTCTGCAATGGAATACCCCAGTGTGCAGGTTGCTTCCACTTCCTAATATTCCTCGCTGGTCTAGGAAAAGATGGGGTACACTCCATAGGAATATATAGATACGTAATAGTTGTGAAAACGTAAGGTATCGTGAAGTGACAATGTACAGTGTGTGCGCCGTGTACATTGCAGGAATGCAGCACGGTTTCGATGTTATTTCATCTGGCCGATCTCCGCCCCAGCACAGTAACCTTGTGTTTTGTTCTGGCTGGCCCTCTCAGGGCGTGTCCCAGGTGAAGAAAATCTCGTTATTAGTTTCTGGTGGAGCTCGGTTATGCAGATTTGAGTCGTGGTCTGTGCGTTGTAGTAGTCTTCAGTGTGATAACCTTTTCAAAATCGGCACTCAGGACAAGCCCTGAGAGCTTATTTTCGGGCAAGACCCTGCCGAACCGTTTTACGTTGTTATTTGCTATTTGCGAAAAGCTTTCCATCTTGCTCGACCGCAATAAGGGGAACGCCCTCATCTTCGTCTCATCTCGTGGCGCAGGCAGGAATCGCATCGCATCGAATAAAAGCCGTCCTCTGATTGCGGTGCTTTCATCGATTGCTTGCTGTTCGTTGTCCATGTTTCCGTTTTCTGTTGACGCTGTTGCTCTGCTGATGCTGTTGCTCCTCTCCTCATGAAACAGCTGCTGCTGCTGCTGCTGTTGCTGCTGCTGCTGTTGGCCAAGAATGGGTGGGAAACGCGTGCTTTGCAGCACCCTCGTGTGAGAAACCGCGTGTTTCGCGTGCACCGGAGAGAACGAAGCGCGTGCTGTGCTTCGAATGGTGTCCGTGTTGTCCTCGGCGGCCAATGTGCAAGCATGTGTACAGTAGAAACGGATCGGATTACAGTAGTGTACACTACTGATCCGTGGAGACGTCCGATCCGAGCAAAACTCGCCTCACCTAGCTCGTGTGAGTCCAACAGTGGCTAATGGATCATTCCGCTGCTTTTGCAGGGGTCCACCGCCATGGCGTTGTTAGCGACGTGGCAAGGAGCAGCTACGCCTATTGGTTTCCCTCTTGGTCCCGCTGGTGCGCTGTCTAGCAGCAATTTGCCTTCTAGACGCATCCGCCTTTCTCTGAGATTTTCAATGACGCGCTGCTCGACAGCGCATCGGCTTCTCACGAGTCGCGAGTCACGACTCACGAGGTACTAGCAGCAACGCTCATCGCGTGATTTTCACTGACGCGCAGATTCTAGGCGGACCACTCAAATCGGAGGGGACTGCTCCCTCCCACGCACGCATGGTCTCGCAACTTTCCCACGACCCTTCCGAAGGGTCTGCGTGCGTGTGCCGATTTCAAGAGTGCATGGATAGAGCCTCACGGCTCGCCACGGCACGCCCCATCCCCAGGCAACACGTGCAGTTCACCAAGTTTGGCACATGATTGCTCGATACGGCACATATTACAGTACATCGGACGGTGATAATAGGCTTACTCACCCGCGCCACTTCCCCCGTCACACAGATGACGACCTGTGCCGGACCACCTACTACTGACCGTGACGGTAATAGCTTTCGCTGAGACCTGACAGACAGACCTGACAGAATCCGTCCAGTGACGATCTTTGGTGGGGCCTCATGCCTCGAGAGACATGCACTCTAAAGCGGGCTTGGACTCAACTCGAATCCATTTAGACTCTCGCGCTTCCTAGTACTCGTAGCAGCTCAAGTTCAGATTCCACTCTTCGACGAGACGTAGCGCTCGTATTCCACCACCCTCTTCGTCAACGTTAGCGTTACGTTCGCCCTTAACGTTCGTCCTGAGGCGTCACGAGTCGTGAGGCATCCCGCAGCCATGGGAAGCACGTGTCTTTTCGTACGCGCGTCGTCAGAAAGCATGCGACTGTTTTTGGCGCTGCGTCCGTAAAGTAGCGAGGCGTGCGATGAGGCTTCTCTCAGGATAGTACCAGTAGTTTCGTCATATCTTCCGTCATCTTTTCCGTCACCGTCATCTTCTTCGTCGTCTGTTCAGTCATCCCGCCATGTCGCAGCTGTTCCGAACGAAACTTTTCGCCTTCGCGCGTTCGCACGGCTCTAGGAAGCCGGACCGCGCTCGCCCCCCGCGACTGGCAGCAGCATCGTCGATCCTTCCCCACCCTCCTTTTCCAGTCAGCAGTGACGCAGACGTAAACGTAAACGTTAACGGAAACGGAAGCGCAGTCGCATCTCGAGGGCTGGTGACGTCGTCCGACGATTCCGAGGGGCGTTCTGCCGACCGATTCAAAGATAAAACGCCGCCTGAAACCATCATTGCTCAACATCTCGCCCCGTCGAGTCGTCTTGCTTTTTTCTGCCGAAAATGTCCCGCACTCGGCGGGGGACGCAGCGGCAGGCATGCAAGCGGCGGGCGCGGAGGCGCGGTACTACCCGCTAGCAACACATCCGCTACTAGCAGCAGCGTTAAGAGCAGCAGCTCCTATGATTGTGGTCATCGTCCTTCGCGTCTACATGGCCTGAGAGTTGGGGATGCCGAGCATGCACCTGTTTTTGCTGCTTCTGCAGCGTCAGTTTCTGTTGAGTTTCAGGTGGCATGTGCCAAGGAAGAGCATGCGCTTTTGAGCATTTCACCAGCAACAGACCCTCTTCCCGTGGCGGCCTTTCTGGGGACGAAAAATGAGGGCTGGGAGTGTTTTTCTGGAGCAAGTATCCCCTTTTTCCGGCCTGACCACAGTGGTGGTTGTGGCCGGACTTTTGAAGCGGCTGAAAGTGGACCGTTGGATCTCAGGAGGGAGATGCAGAGGCTGCATTCGGCCCCTTGCACACATGCCACGTGGCAGGAACTGGAGCTGGCCCCTGAGGAACGTTCAGAAGTTTTTCCATCTTTTGGGGATGAGGGGGTAGCAGGGGAGATACCAAGTGGTGACCTTGGTAGGTTCAGCGAGGGTGAGAGGACTTGTCACGAACCATGGCATGGTGCATACAATGATTTGGCTCAGAGGGATCTGGCCTTGAGGAGCATGAGAAATGGGTCGTTTGAGATGGAGGTTGTGCCTGATTGGCTGGGGATGCAGGGGTGCTTGGTGGGAAGGATTGAGGAGGTTGCTAGGCCGCTGAGAAGGTTCAGCTGTGACTGGGATGTGCAGCAGACTGGAAGACAGCTGAGGAAAACCCGCAGCGAGCCGATTTGAAGGGAGTATGGTGGGCCGGGGAGGGTTGAGGAGGCTGCTATGCCGCCGAGAAGGTTCCGCTGTGACTGGGATGTGCAGGTTGGAAAGCTGAGGAAAACCTGTTGTGAGCCTATTTGAAGGGAGCTGACCAAGGGGGATCATGTTGATTGATTGTGAGTTTGAATTGTAACTAATTGTTATCCAATATGTTGTATAATGTTCGCACATGTTCTTATATCGAAAGCGCGTTTGGTAAGAAGTGTATTTCATGAAAATGTCAACTTAGCATGTAAGGGTGTCTTCTCAACCTACACATTGGAAGGAACTAGACGCCATGCCAGATTATAGTAACTATTTCCCATATCAGCCGTTCTCTCCGTGGTAACGAATCGCGTCTAAAAGAGGATATGGATAAGATTCTTCTCCTCCCATTCCCTTCACTGCCTCCAGCCAAAGCTGCTCATCCTCCCGGCCTCTCTCCCTTCCATTCACCCAACACCTAAGGTTATTCCGCTCTAAGGTTTTTCTTCTCCAATATTATTTTTGCTCCAGCTGAGCCGCGATGGCTCCGTCTGCTGCCGGTCTATTCTTTGCCAAAGCGTCGTCAGCTGCTGCTGCTGTGACTCCTCTGCCGCGGGTCTCATCAGCTCGTTGCCAGAGTCCGTCGACTCGTTGCCAAAGCCCGTCGACTCATAGCCAGAATCCGTCTACTCCGTCAAGTCTGTCTCCGGGCCGGTTATCCGCTAGCTGGAACCAGAGAGTCGTCGGGATATCGGCTCAGCGGCCGTTGCGGATGGCGAATGCGGGAAGAAACGCGAGAGTGACGAGCAACACACTGTCGAGATGCAGCGCGAGTAGTAGTGCCACGACAACCAACACGACCCCTTCAGAAGGTTTGTAATCATTTCTAGTAACATTTTAACGCTATGTTCGCTATGCTTTTTTTTTTTTAAGATTTAGAACCCTGGCCTACTTAGTCAAAGCGAGAGGACTTTTAAGTCGACTCAAGAGTCAAACCCCCTGGCTTACCTGGACGAAACACATTGCCTGATCTAAAACCGTCACCGATCATGCTTTCTCAAAGGCCACGTTGATCAGTCGCTTGTTCCTATATTATTCTGGTGGCGCGTTTTTCCGCTGGAACCTTTGAAACACGCAGTTACCCTTCTCAATTTCGACCTCCCTCCCTCCAGGCGGATGCAGTGGGCTTCGACGAAGGCATAGACGAGCTCTCTTCCCTCTGATCCCCTTTCCCTCGGATCCGCTTTCAGATGTGCTGCGGATCTGGCAGACGGCGGACGCGGTGTGTTTCGACGTCGACAGCACGGTGTGCGTCGACGAAGGCATTGACGAGCTCGCCGCGTATTGCGGAGCGGGCGAGGCAGTTGCCGCCTGGACCACAAAGTAAGATGCTTTAGCTTACCGCAAATGAATTCTCTTTGGCCTCCGTAGGGTTTGCTTCATTGACGAGCTCGCCGCGTATTGCGGAGCGGGGGTGGCAGTTGCCGCCTGGACCAAGCGCATTCTAGATTACGGTCCTTTTACATTTGTTTTACGTTTTCGATTCAAGTCTCGATTTCTTTTGAATGCATACCGGAGTTGCGGCTATTGAGAAGGCCTGACTGCCAGCCTTTAAAAGGGCATCAGTGGCGTCCGTTCCTAGCATGATGCCGCTACATTGGAGATATCATCATATCACACCCTGCTGGCCTCGATTTTGCCGCTGCGTCATCTCAACGGCTGTGGCGCGAGGTCGTGGGGTAACATCACCAGGTCATCGGGCTCCTTTCCCCCCCCCCACTCCCATCTCCCCCCTCCCCCCCCCCAACCTCCCCCCCCGCTCCCTCCTCCAAAACAAGAAACCTAGCTACTTTTTCAACTGCTCCCTTGCGATTTTGAGCTCGCATGCGTTATAAGAGTCTCTCAGCCATGCTCATTTCCCCTGCTCCCTCTCGCTCTATAAACCTCGACTTCTTTTGAACCCTGGATTCCTTTCTCCCGCTGTCCCCGCACACAGGGCCATGTCTGGGTCGGTTCCGTTTGAAACAGCTCTGGCGGCTCGTCTGGAGATATTTAATCCCTCTGCTGCTGACGTGGCAGGGTTTCTCAGGGACCATCCGCCAAGGTAAAGTAAGCTTGGCTTGATGCGAACTCCATCCGGTTTCGTGCCTCAAATTCCCATCAATGCTTCCGTTTGTAACCGTTTGGGTTCGGGTTTTGGGGTTGGTTCGGGTTCGGGTTTATTTGGGTTCGGTATTGGGTTTGCTGGTTTCAGGCTCCTTCATCCATATCACCAGACGTTTCCCATGCTTGGGTTCGCAGATGGCAAGCACTCATTGCTCTTGTCTTCTGCTGTCGAATGGCGGTTGTTGTTTGATGTGCTCATGTTGTTGCGCTCAGGCTCAACCCCGGTATTGAGGAACTCGTTAAGAGAATAAAGGCAAGGGGAGCAGAGGTGTTTCTCATCTCTGGCGGATTTCGACAAATGATTGAGGTGGGCGATTAAGTTACTCCTTTTTTACCACTGCTGGCCTTACATATTATGCTCTTTCCGTATTATGCCTTTAAAGGTTTCAATCTCTACCAGAAACTCACCAATAACTGGTTAACTTTGTTGTCATCACCTCTCCCCTATCCTCCCTCTCTCTCTCCCCCCCTCCCCTCCCCTCCCCCTTCCCCCGCCCCTCCCGGCCCCCATCCCTTTCCGTTCTGTCCCTCTCCTCTTGTCCTGACTCCTGTCTCAGCCTGTCGCCCTTCTTCTGGACATCCCCTTAACAAACATCTTCGCCAACCGTCTCTTGTTCGACGAGGGCAATGGCGCGTATGCTGGTTTCGACGCGACTGAGCCCACGTCTCGCAGCGGAGGGAAGCCAAAAGCTATCGCGCAGCTGAAGCAGGTGGGGGAGGGAGAGGGGGAAGGGGGAAGGGGGAAGGGGGGGATACGAGGGAGGGAGGGAGGGTGAGTGAGGGAGGAAACAGGGTGAGGCGAACACTGGGTGAGGAATGAGCACTGAGTTGGATGCGACTGAGCCCACGTCTCGCACCGGAGGGAAGCCCAAAGCTATCGCGCAGCTGAAGCAGGTGGGGGAGGGAGGTCGGGGGGGGGGAGAGGGGGAGATCGGGTGAGGGAAGAGGTGGGGGCGAAGGTTGGGACGGGAAGTAGGCACTGTAGCTTTGTTCTCCCCCCCCCCCCCAACCCTTTCCCATCCGTTCCCCCGTTGTGTGGACTCTGCATCAGTTTTGTCTCTTTTGCTCTGTGCACCTTACCTGCTTCGTTATCTCGGTTCTCATTTTCCCACTTTCTTTCTCTCCCTCCCTCACATTTGCTTCCACTGCTATGTGCAGTCGCATGGGTTTGAAACGTTGGTCATGGTGGGAGACGGCGCTACTGATCTGGAGGTGAGCTACTGAATATTTTCAGCGGATATCAGCTCTGTTGCTTGCTGTATCAGTCCACTGGTTACCCGCAGCAAATGTGGCAGAAGCGTGCCATTGTTTCAATGCCCACCCAGCCTGGGAGCTCCAGGGACGCCCAATACATTGTATTCCAAATGTATGCCATGCACACGGGTCGTTTCTGCATCCATCATTCAATGGAGGGCTCACATATCACTGTAACCCTTCCTGCTCTGTACCTTACTCTCCCTGTGCTCTGCAGGCTCGGCAACCTGGTGGGGCGGACATGTTTGTTGGGTATGGGGGGGTTCAGGTTCGGAAAGTGGTCGCGGCTGAGGCAGATTGGTTTGTGATGGATTTTCAAGATCTGATCAGTGTGTTGTAGTTTCCGTGGTGGGATAAATGTCGGGAGACTAGACTGACATGCGCAAGTTCAGAAAAATGCAGTGAAAACGAATGGGTTCAGAGCATTGCATGTATCTTCCTTGTAAGATCAGTTTAGCCATCAATGTATCCATCTATCCAAGCATCCTTGCTTGAAAGCAACCATCCTACACCTTTTTTACATCCAGCACATCCTGCAAAACTGCAGTCAAGGCAGGCCTTCCCATCCCAAGAACCATCCAGTCCTCCAGCACTCCAGTCCTGTATCCTTCCGATCAGGCTAAAAAATCCAATACATAGCAAGCCCTTTTGCTCATCTTTTGAACCACTTGGGCCGGGAAGAGGCCCCAGCTTTTGAGGACCCAGGCGTAGCACCAGCAGACCCTGCCACCTTCCCTGGATCCACCTCCCCCTTGCCCCTATTGTCCTCTTTAGGCTGAGACCCCTCGTTACCCTTTGCTTGTTCCTCCAAGTCCAGTGGTGCTGGCAGGGGCACGTCCTTCAGAGCAAGGATTTCTGGGCGTAAAAGCGAGGCTGCATCAGAAGAAGGTTCTGCAGAGAGAAGGGGGGGAGGGGGGGAGGGAGGGGGGGAGGGAGGGGCGGAGGTGGGGGAAGTGGGGGAAGCAGGTGGGCGAGAGTGTGTTAGTCTAATCACTCCAATGGAGTGGGAGAGACAGTAGAGCTGGCAGGGGAATGTGCTTGAGAGCAAGGACTTCTGGGCGCAGGAGTGAGGCGGGTGAGGCTGCATCAGAAGATGGTTCTGTAAAGCGAAAGGGGGGGCGGGGGGAAGGGGGAGAGCAGGTGGGCGAGAGTGTGTTAATCTAATCACTCCAATCGAAGGGGAGAGAAAGTGGTGCTGGGAGGAGAGCGTGCGTGAGTGCAAGGACTTCTGCGGGCAGGAGTGAGGCGGGTGAGGCTGCATCAGAAGATGGTTCTGCAAGGGTGGGGCAGAAGGGTTGAGTGGAAGGGTGGGTTGAGTGGAAGGGTTGGTAGGGTTGAGTGGAAGAGTGGGGTAGAAGGGTGGGGTGGAGATGACAAGCGAGCGTGAGAATGAGAGGGAGAGGTGGGTTGTTGCAACGCTTGCAACAATTTGCATGCGATTCCGATTTTCGAGGCGCCTCAAATTCCGTACCGACATTTCCCTCTTTCGTTTCAAGGCCACAGCACAACCAATCAGACGACTGCCCGACTTAACGCATGGCGGCTTGTAAGTGACCACTGGAAGAGGCACACGCATTAAGTGATTGCAGCTGACTAAAGCCATTCACAGAGGACCATTAGTTTTGAGGCGCCTCAAAAGTAGACCCCTGTACGAGAAAACTGTAAGAGGCACACGCATTAAGTGATTGCAGCTAACTAAAGCCATTCACAGAGGACCACTGGTTTCATTTCACCTGTATCCGAAGATTCCACCGAGAAGTGCAGCAGCGCCCCTGGAGTGAGCTGTGCCGTGCGCAGATCCCTTTTTTTTCTTGCTTATCTGGTAATATTAAGTGAACCTTCTGGCCACTCATCCCACCTGCCGCTGAAGACTCCGCTGAGAAGTGCAGCAGCGCCCCTGGAGTGAGCTGCGCCGCGTACAGATCCTCTGCCTCGTTCTTTATCATGCGCTTTGGTGGCGTTGTGTCTGTTTGGTTAAAAAATAAAACAAACACAGCAGGCCAGAAGGGACTGCATTAACCATTGTAGTGAGCTGTGCCGCATCGCGTACAGATCCTCTGCCTCGTTCTTCATCCTCCGCTTTGGCGGGGTTGTGTCTGTTAAAATTACAAGTGAAGGAGAGAAATATGACTTGGCTTGAAACGGGTAAAAATACGTCTCACTGTTGAGAAATTCGGATGGAAAATCTACCTAGTTGAAAAATCCATGCACACAGCACGAAACAACCCAGACAGGTGCATGGGGCACATGCAGAAGGAAAGGAGCACATGCAGAAGGGTAAAAAAAAAAAAAAAAAAAAAACGCAGAAGAGAGACGCATGGACAGAATAAGGGTTGGAAGACTGACAGACGAAGAAAGGGACCTCCGGCTGTGGCCTGTTGAGTCGGCCCAAAAGCCACCTCAGAATAAGGACAAGCAGCACTCACAGAAGAAGAACGGCACATCCGGCTGTAGCAGGCACTTCTGCACCAACTGCCTGACTGCTGCTACAGTGTCCGTGGGAGAGAAAACGACCTCCACTACTGTGTTGTCTGGGAAGCGGACTCTGATGATGGCCTGAGAGTGGGTTTTGGAAGAAAGGAGCCAGTAACGTGGCAGGGAAAGAGAGACCAAGCGCAAGAGTCCATGGGATGGGAGAGAAAACGGCCTCCACTACTGTGTTGTCTGGTAAGCGGACTCTGATGATCGCCTGAGCGTGGATTTGGGGAGAGGGAACAGGGGGAAACTTCTAGCTACAGCCTGAGAAAGGGGTTGAACGGAAGAGACAGAAGAAGAGGGCGGGAAGCGAAAAAAGAAGGGCAAAAAGCGGTGGACAGCAGACAAGCAGTTCAACAAGGGGAAGTTTTGTGGAGTCATTTTTAGAATTGTCAAAAGTGGACAGCAGACAAGCAGTTCAAGAAGGGAAAGTTAGAGCTCCATGCCTTTCGAGGTGACTTATAGTTATACAAGGGAAAGTCACCTACAAGGGAAAGTCACCTACAAGGGAAAGTCACCTACAAGGGAAAGTCACCTACAAGGGAAAGTCACCTACAAGGGAAAGTTATAGTTCCATGCCTTTCATTCGGTCGGCAGCAGCATAGCCTCACCTGTTTGAACTGTGCCTTCCTTTGTTGCTGCTCTTGATCCCGAATGGCTTTGGTCTTGAGAAACCGCTCTAAAGGGCAAAGGGATGATGATTGTACAGCAGAGAAGGCAAAAAAAGGAAGGAGAGAAAAAAAGAGAAAATTAAAAAAAAAAACCTTCAGCAAAAGAACCCCTCCCAGACTCAATCACTTTGCCAGATCTGGCAAGGCGTCCGTAGAAGGTCGGTCCGATCGGCCCTACCGGATAGACTCCTTTTTTAAGCTTATTAAAACAAAATCTGAGCAAAAGTAGTTCTCCCAGGCTAAATATCTCCTGCACGCACCTTCCTTCTTTCCCGCCATCAATCTCGCATAATCCACGGTTGTGAACTCATAGAATTCCTCCGCAACCTCCCCTCCCGGATTCACCGCCTGTGGGCCTCCCTCCACCGTCGCAGAGCCAGCTTCTCGTTCGCCGTCGCCTGCCGTCGCAGCTGCATCGTTGCCGACTGTCGCAGGAGTCGCAGGCGTCGCAGGAGTCGCAGCTCCGTACGTGAAGACGCGAATCGGGCGACCAAGCATCGCCGCCACGTCAACGCTGGAGGCCATAGTGGGTCAACTACTACTAGACCGTCCTATCGACAGCCTTACTCGACGGATTATGAGATTAGAAATGGCGAAACTAAGCTACTTCAAGTTGATCAAGTTTATGTAACCGGAAGATATATCAAGACTGTCTACAAGGAGATGCAGACATGGTCAAAACAGACCGCATTAACCGAACAGGAGACGTGCTCGACACGCTCGTCAGACACGCCTTACTGTTGTACGTGATTTTTGAGAATTCTCTAAAAGCTCGTCAGACACTCCCTAGAAAATAGTAACTTTTCTAATCGATCCCTCTTTCTAGATAGGATCTCCTAACCGCTACCTCTGGTGAGTCGACGAGCTACGGCTTCTCGAGAACCTGTCGGGTTGTGAGAGTGATAGCTGGTGATTTCTTCTCTCGTCATTCAGGCTGGTCGATTAGGCGCCAGTGGCAAATGTATCAGTAGGAGAGAATTCAGGCGAAGTTATCGTTTGCTAGTAACAAGTTTCCAGAAGTACGAACAACGCTTACGCTAATTGAGTGGGGAATATTGATTAACCATTGTCAGAGTAAGGGCGATTGAAGACTGGTAAAGGTGAACAAATCAGTTAGTGTAATATCCAGAACAGTCAGCGGCGCTATATACACTGCTAGCTGCAAGAAAGAATTACATGCAAAGCACTTGAAAAACAATACTGTGAAACCTCACTAGCCTCAGTACCAGCAGCTGCATATGCAGCACTACACCATAGGAAAGGAACAATGAGAAATATACCACCAGCACTAGGGTATGTGTATGTACAATCCTGCTGCTGGCATTGGTTGGTTGAGGCACTGCCACACTGAAAGTCAGCTGCACCTTCAGTCTTGGAAGCGGGTAGACACTCCCAACTGAAAGTCATGTACCAGGTACCAGATAGGAGGTACCAGGTACCAGGTACCAGCAGGGACATTGTCACAGGCAGCAGGGACGGATGCAGCAGAGGTATGGCCCGCCAGCAGCGAGGACCACTGCAGAAGTTGCCCTAGCTGCAGGAGATGGTTGCAGATGAGTCACGCGTCTGCTGCAGCCGTGTGATAGGCCAACCGAAGCCGCCGCCCAACGCCAAGTCTGCCACCACCCCTTCCACTCCAGCTCCGTCCCAACCAATACCTCTGATAATCTGGATGAATTGGATGAATCGGAGCCTCTGTTTCAGTAGCACGAGGTCAACAGGAGCCATGGCGAATCAGCTTTAGCTGGCCAAGCCCCGAGGCCCACCCGACTCCGCAGCCCGACTTTGCAGCCAACACGCCCAGCAGATAACACACGTCCGTCCCTATGCCTGTCTATCCCCATGCCTTCTGCCATGCCCGTCCCTGTGCCCCAGATCCTCCCCACACCCCTTCCCCCACGGACATTGAAACTATTTGGAGAGTATGGTATGTACGAGGTTGACGGAGCCAGATTCTTCCCACTGTTTCGGAGCCAGTTGCACATCATTGCCTGAATTTCTTCATATATTTCCTTTTCCTCGTTTTTTCACGAATCACCACTCACACCAGGGGAGACCGCTGAGGCACACCTTTCCGTCGGCGATTGCCGGTCAGGCTCGGAGTTGACGGAGGGGAGAACCCCAGCCGCGGCGGAGATGACGGCGAGCCCTCAGGAAACGAAAACGGGGACGAGATCGGCACGAGAGGCGGGAATTTCACCATGTCCTGGAACTTCCCCATCGTCGGATTCGGGTTCTTCTCCGGATGCGGATATTTCTCCACGCGAACTCTCTTTCCCCCGCCGAATCCGCTCCGGCTCCACACGAACGACCGGTCGCCGTTACCGTTACAGTTGCCGTCAACGTCACCGTCGCCGTCACAGAGAACACGGTCGTCTTCGTCCGCTCGGGAGATCCCGTCGCTGTCAGCGCCAAAGCCGTCCTCGATATTGTCGAACTCAACAGAAGCAGCTAGCAAAGAGACTTCCGGCGATGTCGTGTTTCCGTCAGGGGCTGAGCGCTTCTTTCCACCAGCTGTCGTTCTCGCCTTCTGAACCCAAGTCGCGAATGCCAAATTGCTGCTGCCGTTGCCGTTATTCTTCCGCCACGTGTCAGCATTTCCGCCTGCCATCGCCGCATTGTACGCGCTCGGCCGGTGTGACGTGACAGCACCCGCTGCTGACGTACGCTTCGCATTACTACCACCCCCGTTCGCAGACCCCGCGCCACCATGATGATGTCCTCCAGAATTCGCCGGCGCGGACGCCGCGACTCGCGGAACAAACGAGAGAGTGGAATCTTTGGGAACTGCGGCGAGTTTGCAGCCGAGGGAGCAGAACCTGCTTGCGTCGAGCAGCATTCGCTCGCACGTCTCGCAGTAGAAGGGCGCGCCCTTCACGGGACGCGCCTGGGGCCGGCCGTTCAGAAACACGATCTTGGCGCTGTTGATGACGTACACCTGAATGTGCGACAGATCTAGGATCTTCGCGAGCTCGTTGATTCGCACGCATTCGTGATACGACGACCGGCGGATTTGGAGAATATTATGGTGCTTCGACGCGCCGCCTGAACCGGCGCCATGGATTGAGCCGCCACCGCCAGAATGTGGTGAACTGCCGGAATGGTGGTGGCTGGGGTTGTTGGAATGCTGCTGGGCAATGCAGGTGGAGCAGAGGGATTCGCCGCTACACGTGATGCAGAAGTAGTTTCGCTCGGCTCTGCTGGAGGCCGCGTGCTGCGCGCAGCTCGTGAAATAACGGCCGCGGAGCAACTTAGGGAGCCACGCGGGGCAACGGCTGGGATCGAACGACTCGTGGGAATCCATGGCTGGAAATGGAAGAGTTGCTGGAGCGCTAAACGAACTTGCAATGCAGGAAATGTGGGTGAACTGGACGATGGTGCTATTACTCAATGGTTGCTCTACCGTGCGTCTACAAAGTTCTTATGAGGAATGCATATGAAGAGATATTGACGATAAAAGGAGTTTGCAGATTATGAAGGGAGGAAGAGAAGTTACGGCCAAGGATCTGTGGGTGTTGGAAACTGAGAAGGGGACGGCTGAAGTGGTGGTTGCTTTCTGCGGAAAACTGGCGCAACTGTCGCTCTGATGAACACATGAGCGGACGCGGGAAGGCGGGGGGTAGCGAAGCGAGGCGAGCCAGCAGCCAGCCAGTTACTATGGATGTGGAGAGACTGGGCTAGGGATCAAGTGGGGTACGGAAGAGGGGTGGCGCTTGGAGGTTGCATTATGCTTGTGGCCGCTCAGCGCGGAAAGGTAACAGAAAAGCTCGCTCTGGAAAAGGAGTTCGTGAGCATTTCTCGAGGTTGGGTTTTGGGACTGCCGCAGGTTTGGAATCGGTTAGATTGGTGAACGCTGGTTTAGGTTGGGTTTGGTTGGGCTGGGTTGCAGTCTGCCGCGTGAGCAGTTGCAATCCGTTCCGTTTTTTCGTTCCGTCGAATGGGGTCGCGCGGGGCTGACGGGGCTGATTGCATTGGCTGCAGCAGCAGCAGCAGCCGAAGGCAGGCAGGTTGGGAAATGGAAAACTCAAGGCACACAGCGGCGTGCGAGCCGCCCCCAGCCCCAACCCCAACTTCAAGGCCCTAGGCAGCCATGCACCACAATTTGCCACCTGCATCAATGACAGGAGGCGGAGAAGCGACGACGAGTGAACCCACTGTCTGCTGTACACTTTTTTGTGAGTCATGCGGCGAGCCGCGCGGGACGAAAGTGCCCAGGAGAATGTCGGCAGCTCCCACCCTGGCTTGCGGCTGTGCGGGATTTCAAACGTGCGGCAATATGAGCCGTCCGATGGAGGCCAGCGGAGCTTTTATATGACATATTAGCGGTCGATCTGAAAATGTTCGCGGGATCATTTGGATCTGCTCAGGGGGGAGGAGAGTCAGGTTGGGGTGGAATCATCTGGTGCGTCCGCTGTCTCTTGAGCTTCACGCATGCGATTCGGGAACGGTTGCGATTTTCTGCATGGGGATTGGGTGGCGATTGTGTGGTGGAATTGCCCCTTTCAGAGGACTGGAACCCAATCGAAACTTCCGCCCCTGAACTGACTCAAACCCCAATCATTCGCGAATGGCCGATCACCCGTCACTAGCGAAAACGGGTTCTTGTGGCGAGGGTTTGGAACAGCCATCGCCCAAAAGGTGACTCGGGACGTGACATGAATGGCTGTGGTTAACAAACTGACACACAACTCGGCGAGATCGTTCATTTGGCGCGGAGAAAACTGACTGGATGCACAGCCCTTCCCCTGCGCTTCGCATTCCTCGTTCTCTCCGCCTCTGCCAGGTTCGTGGATCCAAACGCCACATCAGCGTCGCTGGTCTGGAAAGATCGTCGGGAGGAAGACTTGATGATGACGTCAGGTGTATGCTGACCTGAGCTCGCTTGAAAGGGACTGTTCTCGATGTTTGCATTACAGCGCGGCCCGGGAAATGGATGACGCGATGTCCGAAAATGGACCTGTAGGAGGTTCCCAAGCAGGTCGATTCGATGGCCAGCCTGGCAGGGGCCCATTCGCGGTCCCCGCAAAGCCCGATAACAGTTCACGAGAGCTGACCGTGCAACTGAAGGTCCTTTGCGCTGACGTGACATGACACTGTGGAATGCAGTATGTAACCACCAGCCCACACCTGTGAGACTGGAGAAGACCACCGACAAGTGGAAGGGGGTTGAGAAGCGCTGATGTGGCAAAGCACCGTTTTCACCGCAATGACGTGCCACAGCTGTGAGGTTGAACCGTGGCGCGTGCTGCAGTCTGCCATTGATTGTCCCGTTACAACGGCAAACCTTACCAGAATACTGGAAAGAGAATGGCTGCACCAGCTTTAAGCCCTTCACTAAATGTCTAATGTGCAACTTGATATAGGCTTTCACATAATGTGCGAAACCGAGATTGACCGATTCTAGGACGCGTGTCATCACCCCTTAAGCATCGTGTCTAAAAAACTATGGCATAAAACAATACAAATGTACAAGTGGAAAACCGCAGTACTATGGTGCACGACCACCATGCTCACAGCTTGGATTTCCCTGGCCGGGCAGCTATGAACACTTTCATCTTCTCGAAATCCTGGGGTGTCATCTGCTTGTAGTATGCCCGAGCTCTCTCCTAAAAACATGGGGGCGAGAGTGATATTAGAAGGGATGATAGAAATTATATTTTGTACTGCGTGGAAAGGAAAGATGACATTAAGGTGTTTCTCGCCGCCTCCACTTCATTGAGTGTCAACCCAATCCCAATGTTGGTCACTGCCTCGTATTAAAGCAACAGCAATACTGTTGGCGATATAAGTGACGGCAAGCACTCACCGTTTCCAGCTGTCTTCCCTCGCTTAGTGTGAGCCCTATTCCATCATTGATCACCGCCTTGTAACGAAGCACCAAGCCCGGATGGTTACCAGCCACGGTCTTGGCGATTGCAATCGCAGTCGGCATAAGTTTATCCGCATCCACCACTCGGGACAGCAGGCCCCATCGCTCCGCTGTTTCTGAGTTGACCGGCTCTGCTGTTAGAGACACCTCCCGCGCCCTGTTCACCCCGATAAGGCGAGGAAGCTTCTGCGAAAGTCCCCAAGACGGGAAAATGCCAAACCTGGAGGCCATTGGGGGAGAGAAGAACAGAAATTGTAGAGTCACATAGACTTCCCAGTGATGTCACATGCTGGCGGCAGGCCCCATCGCTTCGCCATTTCTGCGTTGACTGGCTCTGTTGTCAGAGAGACCTCCCCCGCCCTGCTCATGCCAATGAGGCGGGGAAGCTTCTTCAAAAGCCCCCATGATGGAAAATGCCGAACCTGAGGTTGGATTGGCATGGGGAAAGCAGGAAACAGAGAGGGGAGGCTGGGGAAGGAATGAGATGCTCCACACGGATGTGCTTGGTCCATACCCCATATAAGCTCACTCAACTCCATGCCCGTTATACGATCACTCAGTTCCATACCCCATATAAGCCCGCTCAGTGTGTCGTCTATTTTTGCATTGCTGCTCCCAGCCTGAAAACACCACACACCAGAACGATCTCAAAGCCAGCAGTGATGGCATGGCCGTTGATGGCCCCTATGATGCGCATCGGGCATCGCTGCATCCCCCATATAAGCTCACTCACTTGCTGTGCGTGTCTGCAAATTTGGCCTTGCTGCTGCCAATCAGAATGTCGCAAGCAAGAGCGATCTCGAAGCCAGCAGTGATGGCATGGCCGTTGATGGCCCCTATGATGGGCATCGGGCATCGCTCCATCTGCACCACCACGTCCGTTTCCTCGTCCGTCACATCCCCCTGAAACACGCTCTGTGCTGCTGTCAGATCCTGGAAAAGGGGCGAAACAGAACACCAACATTGGGAATTCTCAGCACCATCTGCACCACCGCGTCCGTTTCCTCATCCATCACATCACCTTGAAACACGCTCGGAGCAGCTGTCAGATCCTGCAAGGGGAGGGGAGAGAGAGGGGGGGGGGGGGAGGGGAGGGGGGGGGGGGGGAGATATCAGAGCATCAACAGGGCATCGTGCATCGCTCCATCTGCTCCACCACGTCTGCCTCCTCGTCCGTCACATCCCCCTGAAACACGCTCTGTGCTGCTGTCAGATCCTGGAAAAGGGGTGAAATGGAACATCAACATTGGGAATTCTCAGCACCATCTGCACCACCGCGTCCGTTTCCTCATCCATCACATCATTTTGGAAAACGCTCGGAGCAGCTGTCAGATCCTGCAAGGGGAGGGGAGAGAGGGCGGAAGGGGGGGGGGAGGATATCAGAGCATCAACAGGGCATCGGACATCGCGCCATCTGCTCCACCACGTCTGTCTCCTCGTCCGTGACGTCACCCTGAAACACGTTCTGAGCCGCTGTCAGATCCTGGAAAAGAGGCGAAACAGAACACCAACATTGGGTTTTTCAAATCCATCTGCACCACCGCGTCCATGTCTTCATCTGTCACATACCCGTGAAGCACGCTTTGAGCTGCTGTCAGATCCTGGAAAAGGGGCGAAGCAGAACATCAACATTGGGAATTCTCAGAACCAGCTGCATCACCACGTCCGTTCCTTCATCAGTCACAACCCTTGAAACAGGGACTGTGCTGCTGTGACGTTCAGCAGGGGAGGGTGGAACAGAGCAAGAAACGGAAACATCTGTGTCTTTGTAAACCATGTCTGAACCCTCCAATTCCGAGACATTCCCTTGAAACACGCTCTGAGCTGCGGCGCGATGCTGAAGGAGGCAGTGGGAGATTCCTTGCGGAATGGTTACGGAATGGTTTTGAAAAATTAATGGAATGGTTATGGAATAATCACGGAATGGTCATCTCACGTATGGATCCATATCATTAGCGAATTTTCAGCACCCCCTTTCTCACCATTCCAGCGCAGAACGCGGAGCCCGCGCCAATGAGAATGACGGCTCTCGCGTTCCCTTCCACGCGGATGCGCTTGAGCGCCTGAGCGAACTCGCGCATCATAGTCCTCGTCAGCAAGCACTTCCAACCTGCCTTCCAACCTGAATACCAATCTGAATTCCAACCTGGCATTCAACCTAACTTACTGCTGGGGTTCTCTTCAGCCTGAGCGAGCTCGCGCATAACGGGCCTCGTCAGCGAATTCATTGCCTCGGGCCGACCGCCGTGCCTTAAAAAAGTTACCTTTTCTGTGGATGGTTACCACTCGTGAAAATTGCTGCGACTCTGTGGATCCTAATAGCCCTCTGCACTATTAAACTCCCTGCTCACCACTCCAGCGCAGAACGCGCGGCCAGCTCCTGTGAGAATGACAGCCCTCGCCCTGCCTTCCACGCGGATCCGCTTGAACGCCTGCGCGAGCTCGCGCATCATGGGCCTCGTCAGCGAGTTCAGCGCCTCGGGCCGGTTGATGGTGATCTTAACTATCACCGGATCCAGCCACTCCACGAGGATCCGGCGATCGCCTGCGCCTGCGGAGCCTGCCATTGCCGTGGTCGGACTGTTGAGCTTTTGAGTTTTTGCGACTTTTTGCGACGTCTCGAAGCTCGAATCTCACGCGATGTGGCTAAGTGCTGCCGTCTGGAAGTTCCAGACAGTGAACTGATTCTGATGCTCCAGATGTTCCGCTCCTAGATTCGAGCGGCACCAGAACGAAAGTAGAGCGTAGAGGAGGCAAGTGGAGAGAAAAGGACGCCGATTAGAAAAAATAGCGAAACTACTAACGAGCGCATGCAGGAGCGCCAAAGCGATGCTGGAAACCTCTCAAAATGCGCAATCCACGCTCCAGTTGAAGGCTGCTGAATCTATGGCTTCAGGACAGGAGCTGATGACTATTACAAGTGCGATGGGTGCCAGGAGCAATTGCCTCACTGTAAAAGCTACACTGTTCCGCTGGCGTGGCATGTTGGACGGTGAGGTGGAAATGTCCTGGATGAACTTGGATCTCCCCCCCTCGAATCACCTTTGGCCAATCACGCGCGACGGTTTGCGTCACCTGTAACCAGTGACACGTTTGCAGTGACTGGTAGTTTGTGAAAAAAGTTCCGTTTTAACGTTGTGATAACAGAGTCCCATCTACAAAACGGTTAGGTACATCAACAAAACTAGCAGTCCCATATAAATTAGCATTCCCATTTCTTATGACAACAAGTCTGGTTACCTTCTCGCTCTCGCTATCTCACTCTGATTCGTTCGTCAAAGTTCTCGCATTCTCGCCTACCTCGTACCCTTTAGCAGATTCAAGCGAACCTTCCCACCAACCAGACCGGTCAGCAAAATTTATCCCACGGACAGCTTTCGAACCACAGTTTGCCCTGACTTCGACGTGGGGGTGACCAGACTTTTCAAACCGTCGCCATTTGGCTGAACCAACTGTTTTTCCCTGCCAGCTTGAAGCCTGGTGCCTCTTTCGTGTCACGCTTACTGTAGCGGTCACACGTCTCGCATTACAGGGGGGACTCACAGCTCACCGTCACATGCGGCGCCACTTTGGCAGGTGCCCGAGTGAAATGACACCCGTCGAAGCGCGCCCAGCGAGCATGAAATTTATTCGAGGGATGCCTGTTGTCACCTCTCCCCAAGCTGGTCTCACTGAACTACGCCAATCTGTGTGAAGAGAACATGAATTGGTTGAGCACGGTTCCACACGCTGAGAAACGATTCTGCTGCTTCACCGCTTTGGAACTTGAGCAAACCAACAGGATCGTAGTAAGTGTACACGGGACGTGCTCGACTGTGACGTGGCGTGCCTCATTGCCCAACCCATTAGGGCGTGTATAGAGTGAATCACGCGATGCTAATTTTTATACGTCAACACGTGGTTCTGATGGTTTCCCTACGTTTCAGAATGGTTCAAAGCTGAAAGAGTTCGGTATCTTGACGTCACATTACTTGACGTCAGGTTTTGAGTCACTTTATACACGCCCTTACGGCCAGTACGGCCCCATTCACCAACTCATCACCCACTGTTGCTCACCTGACCTTGCTCCCTGCGCCATCTTACATCAATTTACAGCCACCACTCTTGAGCAAAAAGCTAGGCTTGCTAGATTCATAAGCTCCTGCTTCCGATTGTTTCGGGTGTCGAAGTGTCAGGGCGAAGGAACACCGCTGCCTGAACCGAATAAAGCTGCGTGCACGGCTGGGAAGTGAGAACGCCGGGAGCGTCCCAGTAGATCAAGCTGTGGCACATGATGCTATCTTACGAGTAATCTTAATCAAGCGTCTAGGATCACGCCTCCAAGATGCTGTTTCTCCGCACTTGCTTCTCCATCATACAACCCACGACAGTACAGTAGTATGTAATTCCGTACTGGTCCCAGAGGTTTCAGGGCACGAAAGCCGGTGGCACGAAAGGTTTTTGAGACGCGACAGTAGTAGATACCTTGGTAGTGGTCGTTTCGAAAAAGGTATTTGAAAGTTTTATTTGCATTTCTCAATCATGGAAACCACGGCAGTGGTAGATAGTCTCGTAGTGGTCCCAGAGGCTCCGGGCGCGAAAGGCGGCACGAAAGGGGAAGCGAATGGGCGGCAAGAAAGGTCGCACTACCATTGCCAGTGGGCACGTGGGCCCGGCGCTTTCCTGGACCTAGGCATAGGGTGATTGTAGGCTAGCACATGGCAGGTTAGGCCTTTCATGGCAGGTAGACGTAGGACGATCTTACTAAGATCTTTCCTGGTAGGAAAGCGACGGTTTGTTGAGATTCGTCGGTACCCTTGTCATGGCAATAGTAGCCAGTAGTAATAGCCAGTAATAGCCAGTAATAGCCAGTAAGAATCATAGGCGTCGAATAGCGGGCTTCATCGGAATGCGGCAAATCACCGTCATCATCCTTTCGAAGGCAACTTGCGTATGCCGAGTACGACTCGGAGTCGTTTACACGCACATAACTACTACTAACGTACATAACTACTACTTAGTAGTATGGGCCCTTCGCAGCAGCCTTGTACTTCCGAATCTCACGCAGTACCTGCAGCGGCGTTGGTAGTACGACTGGATCGCAGCACTCAGAAACCCCTTATTCCCAACTGCCGGCATCCAAGCATATTACCGTCATATGCTCGTTTCCTCGCTCCTGCTTCCGCCGTTCCCTCATGCCGCATCGGCGATACGCTGCACAAGCGCTCCGAGGTTCGGCCCGAACCAAATGACCGGTAATGCAAATTATTCTCTAGCTACTGCTGCCTCCGAAGTCGACACAACGAACCCCGCCGAACGCCCGTCAAGCGCCACGGAAAATCCGTTCGTTCGACGGGCACAACCGCCGCAGCCCGTCCCAGCCGACGAAGAGAACCCTGACGGTTTCCGTCACGGTGACGGATTCCGTCAAGTTCCGTTTTTCGACGAAGAAGAATGGCGGCGGCCGGCGAAGCGCCGAACACGGCGGAGCTCCACGGACGCCACAGCGTCAATCACGGCAGCTTTAATCTCCCCCGGCAGCTTTCGCAATCACGGCTTTAATCACGGCACCGGAGGAGGGGAGAAAGCCGAGTTGGATCGCAGAGCGACACTGTCACCATCGGCGACGGAATATCATGGCGGAGCGGCTCGCTGCGTCCCCGAAGCTCCCGCGTCGCACTTTCTGCCCTCTTCTGGAGGAGAGGCAGCAACCGAGCCCGGCGAGCGCAGAGCACCTCAATCATCGTCGGCAACGGTCGCTGTCGGAGCGGCTCGCTGCGTTCCAGAAGCTCCCTCTTCGCACGCTACCGGAGGGGCCCTCGTCGCACGCTCGTCGCACTTTCCCTCGCCGCACGTTCTGCTCTCCCGCGCCTCCAAGACTGGAGGGGAGGCAACAAGCGAGCCCGCGCGCAGAGCACTACTGTCGTCATCGGCAACGGTCACAGTATTTCATGGCGCAGTGGCTCGCTGCGTTCCTGAAGCTCCACAGGAGGACGAGAAAGCAGCCAAGACAGACGTGCCTTTTTCCAGGCTCGAGATCGACCTGAATACAGACCTGAATCCGAGCCTGGATCCGAGCCTGGATCCGAGCCTGGATCCGAGGCTGAACCCGAGCCTGAACCCGAGTCTCTATCCGAGCTCGAATCTGAGCCTTGGCCCGAGCTTCCCTTTGAAACAAGAGATTGATGCAGTTTCGACGCGTGGAGCATCCACCCAGGCACCAGATTCGCGAGTGCTGAGTCAAGCTGGAGCTGATTCAAGGGCCCATTTAGACTCGAAATGGACCTGGGGTCAAGGTTCAGCAGGTCAGGGGCTTCGTGATGCTGACTGGGCGGAGTCGCAGGGCGACCCCGTGCTCCTCCAGCTACTCCCACCGCCACTGCCACGTGTTTCTGATGCGCCAAGACCGCCGGTTCCGCCACCACCCGACGCGCCAAGTGATTCCGAGGCGCCAAGCACACAGCTTCTGCCACCGGCACCGGCACATGGTGTAGCTTCCTGCCAAGGAACGACAAGGGAGATGCTTCTTCCGTGTGCTCCAGCCAGCATCAATTTCTGGTCTGCTATAGGCAACATCAGTTCTCCGTCTGCTCCGGCCAACGTCAATGTTTTTTCCGCTACAGGCTGCATCGTTTTTCCGTCTGCTACAGGCGATAGGATTCGTGCACCTGCTACAATCGACCAGCATACTTTTTACACACCAAGGCATGCAGATACTCGTGGTTCCCAATGGAAGACCCTGGCAGGGCGAGAAGACCCAGCGGAAGCAAACGTGCAGGCAGCAGCGGATGAAGGAAACAGCAACCAGATCTTTTCCCCTGCAGGCAACAGTGCAGGGAGCAGGAGTGTTGAGGCGGAGAGGGAGAGGGTTACCACCACTCTGCAGAATAAGCCTTCAAGGCCCAAACTGCGGCGATGGGAGCCCGGATTTGCTGCTGGTGACACTGTGGCAGAGAGTGTTGTTGCTGCCGGTGGCGTCGAGAGAGAAAGTGTTGTTGCTGCTGTGGGTGGCAAGGAGAGAGAAAGAGTTGCTGACAAGTCCAGGCCGGTTGTAGCGGCTTTGGGTGGTGCTGACAAGTGTGGCCCAGTTGTAAGGAACCAAGGGCTGCCAGCTGCAGATATTGAACTTTCAGCCTATCCATATGCAGTGAACAGCCTACTCCATGCCAATCCACTCCATGCTACCCCATTCGATGCCAAGCCACAGCAGCAGAGTTTGCTTGTCAGCAGCAGAGGCCTGCATTCTATGGGCCAACATGCCAACCTGAACGAGCTTCTAGGGAAACCACGGCTGCCAGCAGCAGACGGCCATCTCACAGCCTCCCCATTTGCAGTGAACAACAGCCCACTCCACGCCAGCCCACTCCATACCAGCCCACTCCATACCAGCCCACTCTATACCAACCCACAGCAGCAGACTGTCCCTGTGAACAGCCCAGGTCTGCATTCTATGGGCCAACAGGCCAACATGAACGAGCTTCTAGGGAACCCACGGGTGCCAGCAGCAGACGGCCCTCTCACAACCTCCCCCTACCATGGCTTTCCTCGCCACAAATCCCATGGTCTCCCTGATCTCTTCCCACGTGCATCAACAGGTCTACCTCTCTCCTCCACCACCCCCCCTGCTCTTTTCCCAAACGCACCTGCAAGTTTACCTCACTCCTCCATCCCACCTGCTCTTTTCCCAAGCACATCTACAGGCCTGCCTCGCCCCAAATCCCCTGCCGTTTTCCCAAGCGCACCTGCCCGGTGCCTGCTTGTGCGGTCGGCTAGAAGACGAAAATCCGCGATACAATCTGAGCATGTTCAAGATGAGTTTTTGCCATCGGGGATTCCCAGGCTGCCTCCGAGTGTGGTACCTGTGATGCACTTAGCTGAGAGTAACAGGTTGATAGTTCCTAGGAGTCAATGGGCTAAGGGGCTGGTTGTGAGTCACATGAATGTTATTGAGGACGGCAGTAAGGGAGACAGGCAGACCCCGGATATGGCAGGGAAGGAATAAATGAGGGCATGGGATAAAAGTGGCAACTTATACATCAATTGTATATGTAGAAGTTATAGGCAAGAAGGGTTCGTTCTCTTAGAGAGCACAACACCCAACCTTCCCATGTATCCCTACTTTCTAGTCAATGCGTTATTCTCGCTTGCTGCCCCTGCCGTCGTCGCTCTCGCCGACCCTTCCTCAGGTCCAGTAGTTTCACGTAGCTCCACCACACTTCTCTGTCCAGCGGTTCCCTCGGGCTCCCTTACGGGTTTGCATATCCCCTCGTTCTCCAGGAACCTAGTTGGTGTCGGTTGCCTTCAGAACCTCGGCGTCACCACTACGTTCCCTGGACACGAGTGGTATGCAGTCTGTATTGGTGCCCACCTCACCACGTTCCCCAGGACTCGGTGTTTGGCATGTTCATGCTGGACACTGCGTCCCCCCCGACAGGGGCGTTCCCCCAGGTGGTTGCGTCTTCCCAGATCGCTGCGGCTTGCTCGTATTGGTCACTCACTCACCCATCGCTTCTGTGACACCACCGCCTAGGTCACCCCGCCCTCCTACTTTTGCGTTACATGTCCCAGCACGGTCTTGTCTTAGGTCTCCCTGCGTCGCTCCGTGCCCTCCCTCCCTCGTCTGCGCCTCCGTGCATGCCTTGTGTCGAGGGCCGGCTGCGCCATGCTCCTCACTCCTCCTCGTTTCCCCCCACCACCGCGCCACTGCAAACCCTGCACTAAGACATCAGGGGCCCAGCCCCCCTCCCTGGGCCGCATCGCGAGCGCTACATTCTAGTGCTCGTAGATGAGTACATGGGCTATACCACAGTGTTTACACTGGAGCGGAAGGCCGACGTGCCTGGCGTTCTTATCCCGTGGCTTGTAGCTGTGCGCATCCACCGCGCCCTTCTCGTGCACCGTCTCCACTCCGAGCGTGGCGGTGAGTTCTCCTCTGGTCCCCTTGGCCAGTTCTGTCGTGCGGAGGGCATCCGCTAGTCGTACACACTGCCGAACTCCCCACAGCAGAATGGGGTCGCTGAGCGACGCATCGGTTTGGTCATGGAGGTGGCTCGTACTTCCATGATCCATGCCGGTGAACCCATTTTCTGTGGCCGTTCGAAGTCCGCTACGCCGCTCACCAACTTAACCTGTGGTCACACTCCTCTGACCGAGTCCCCTGATAACGCATCTGCGTTTCACATATGGGGCTGCCTAGCTCACGTCCGCTACTCTCGCGCGGACAGGCTCACTGCCCGCACCGTCCCTTGTATCTTCCATAGTTTCCCCTTTGACACGTCTGACTAGCACTTCTACCACCCGTCGTCTCACCGTTTCCTTCACTCGCATGACGTCATATTCGACGAGTCTGTCCCCTTCTACTCCCGTTTCCCCCACCGAGGTCTCCCGGTCACTCCACCCCTGTTCCTTGTCCCCGTTCCTCCGGTAGCTCCTATTAGAATACTAGAATGAATATAATAGGTGAGAACAAGGGAGATATAGGGTTGGGGTTGTACCCTCTAAGAACATACACCTATCTAGCCTATAACTTATACATACAAAAAAATGTATAAATTGACACACCCCCTACGCTAGAAAAGGGGTAGTGCTGAGCAAGAAATGCGCAGCTCAGGGTGGCACTACAAGTCCAACCTCTGAGGCAGTGGTCCAAAGACCAGTCAGCAAGATTACAAACAAGACAAGAGCAAACCAGGGCGGCACTACTGGTCCGGCCACAGGAAGAGAAGCCACAAGGCCAGTCTGGAAGGTATAAATATAGATGAGTACACAACCAAGGTCCTAGCAAGTGAGAGTCTACAAGAACTAGACCAAGCTGCAAGTAGTGCCGCTGATGATCTTTAGGTGCAAGCGCCTTATCAAAGATATAAGCTGTGTTGGCACCAGAGGCCAAGTGTACTACGCAGGCTTGGCGACGATGCTGCAACTCGCGCAGGAGGAAAAACCACAGCTGGATGTGCTTCGCTCTGCCCTCAAGTCGTGGCTCCTAACGCAGGAGGATCATGGCCCTGTTGTCAGTGTACAGAAACGGGGCAGAGCTAGGCCAGGGCAGAACTAGGCCGCTCACCTTAGTAAGCGAGAAAGAAGGTCAGCCAGCGGAGCTCCTGTGCCGCCATGGCACCGGCGTAGATCTCAACCTCACATCTAGACTGGGAAACAGACGAGGAGCAACTAGACCTCCATGAGATGGCACCTGAACCAAGGCTAAAGCAGTAGCCCTGGGAGGACCTGAGGGCCTCAGCGTCGTCTGCCCAAGAAGCGTCTGTGTGCCCAGTAAGGACCACCGGCCTGCATCCTCCTAGCACTAGCCCCATGCCCGATGTACTCGCTAGATAATGCAAAACCCTCTTAGCGGCCGACCAGTGCTGTGGTCGGTGTCTGCATGTGGCCACAAAGCGAGCCAGGATGCTGAGAGGGTATGCAAGATCTGGACGAGTGCAAGTCATCAGGTACATGAGGCAACCCATCAGCTCTGCGTAAGGACCACTGGGCTGTACTGACTCCTCAGGAACTGGAGCCGAGAGCCTGTGGTCTACTGACAGAGGTGTGGGATGTGCAGAGGAGAACTGAAGACCGAACCTCTGAAGGACCTGGTCACCAAGTATGTGTGAGAGTGATGGTGCGTGCTGCTCTGTCCCTGGAGATACGCATGCCAAGGTAGCAGCGCATTTCTCCTAGGTCAGTGCAGGTGTGTCTCCTCAGCAGCTCGGCCTTCATGGAGGCCAGCGCGTCTCTGTCTGCAGTAGCGAAGACCAGGTCGTCTACGTAGACAAGGATGTAGAACGGAGTCTAGCCAGCACGAACGAAGAGCGAAGGGTCTGCAGAGGACCGAAAGAACTGCAGGTCAGCTAGCGTAGCACGCAGCGTGTCGTGCCACTCACGGGGCGCCTGTCGCAGGCTGTAGACCGAGTGCCGGATGAGCCACTGGGTCCCAGAAGGGAAGGTACCGGTGAAGCCCTGCAGTCGGCGCAGGTAGACCTACTCGTGTAGGCTACCCTGAAGAAAAGCAGTGGAGAAGTCTTGGGAGTGGAGCTCGTAGTCACGCTGTGCTGCTATGTGTAGCAGCGCCCAAAGAGTAGTCATCTTTGGGGTCGTGGCGAAGGTCTGAAAGAAGTCCACCCCCTCTCGCTGACTGAAGCCTCAAGCCATGTAGCGTGCCTTGAAGACAGACGGCTCTCCAGGGGGGCTCTTCACCTTGAAGAGCCATCGACCGTCGACTACGTTCACCCTAGGTGGGGGAACAGCATCGACGTAGGTGCCGGTGGATCTCTAATATGCCATCTCCTGCTCCATGGCAGCTATCCACTGAGAGGCCGAGGGTCCCCAGTTCGCCTCAGCGTAAGTGCGAGGGGTCGGGATGTCAAAGGCGTCTGGATCACCCTCAGGGACTAGGAGCATAGAGCAGAGATGGGGAGCAGCCTCGGACAGGAATGCAAGCTCGTATTGCCTGTCCTCTAGGACGTCACTGCCAAGGGCAGGAGCACCCTCGACGGACGGAGGACAGACAGGGTCAGAGACCAGAGCGGAGGCATAGTCAAGGCAGCGGGTAGAGGCGAAGTCAGCGACAGCAACGACAAGAGCGTCAAGACTCGAGAGAGGAACAGACCGGTCGGTAACGAGGGAACAAGAGGACGAGCTGCACGAAGGTAGTCAGACAGAGGGGGAGGCACGACAGCGAGCGAGGACAGAGGAGGAGAAGGCATGAGGGGAAGACGAGACGCGTGGGAACGAAGCAACATAGGGTGAGAACGCGGAACAGGGGAGACAGGGCGAGCACGAGAGGGACGGCGAGACCAGCCGTGAGACGGAGGCGTCGGGTCAGGAGACAGAGGAGGAGTAACAGGAGGGGAATGAGGTGGGAATCGAGCCGGGGATGAGTCCGGCGGAGGAAACACAGGACCGTGGATAGGAAGGGGAGGAGGTGGCGGGGGAGGCACAGGCAAGCAGTCAGGGGAGGGAAAGCCGAGCAGGCAAAGGGCGGACATCGTCGGCGACTGCTACTGCTGCTGCTCGACGTCGACACCTGGACCGCCAGCTGCACCGCGGCTACCTCGGAAACCCTTCACTCCAGCACCCCCAGAACGAGCACCCCCAGAGTGAGAACTCTCTCCAGCACCAGTTCCACCCCCGAGCACACCGGGACAAGCCACAACAGAAACCCCAGGACTAGCACCCTCCTCAACGCCAGCACCCCCAGAGGCCACGAACGGCTGCTGCTGCTGCTGCGACGGCGGCGGCGGCGGCTGCTGCGGCGCCGGCGGTGGCGGCGGCAGCGACTGCGACGGCGGAGGAGGAGATACCAGGGGAGAGACATGTGACTTAGCTTATGCCATGTCCATTACATGTTCTGCAGACTCATCCGTTCTCTCCTTTGCCGTATTGTTTTAGGGGGGAAACACGCTTTGCAACGCTGAAGTGTCGCTAATGAAGAGGCTGCTCATCGAACCGCGATAATTTATGGTATGTTGTTGCATGGGCCCTGTCAATGTGTTTCATTCCCAGTTTGTTTTGTCCCAGCGAGTTTTGGGACAGTGTTCCAGAAGTTAGCTATCTTTGAGCGCGGAGTGTTCCTTGATTTACGCTGCTGCTTCTGCGCCCTCCCTTGATGTATGTTCTAAATGTGGTTCCCGACTTTGCCGATGTTTGAGAAGTATTTTTCCCTAACTTACTGCTGTGTGTAAGTGTTGTTTTTTTGTTAGTTTTGCATGAGGTTTTTCCGTATACCTCCTGGTTATTTTGCAGGTGGTTATCTGTGTCCTCTTCATTGCGTGGAGATGTTGCTGTTGAGGCATACATACCGTAATCCATTATGAGAAGATCATAAGACTTCAACGGTCTGCACATGGCTGATCCGTTTTTGCCTCAGCTGTGTTTGCTGTAACTTGGGGTTGCTCCCTTGTTATTATAACTATTTTTTGTGTTCTAATGATGCAGTGATTTTTATGCCCTAAGTACAATTTATAAATTGGTGAAGCTCGAGTTGAAGAAATGGAGATAAACCATATTTTTTGTGGTTTATGCGTGGTTATTGTCACTTGGCTGTGTTCGTTTAGCGCTTAGGACTAATTGTGGTCAATTAACAACAACCTTTTTAGAATTACCAATATTGATTTGTATTCTCCAATATATAGTGAAATCT